GCACTCCAACATGGGATGCAGGCACACAAGCAGCGGCTTAACCCCTTGCCACATTTGTCTCTCATTTTGTATTTGACAGTTCCTCATGATTAAATGCAGCTCATGCACTTTGGTCAAGAACACTCCAGAAGTGATTTGTTTCGCTTCTCACTGTATCACTTTGAGAGACACCTTGATAAGAATGTCTCTCATGCTTAGTTAACGCGGCATCTGCCAGATTACTCGCAGAGTTATTCTTCCCTTTGAAACTGAGTGGGGAGAGACTCTGATAGCAGGTCACAGTTTGGAATCTCAGTCACCAGGAAAATTACTGACAGAAAAGGGGAAATCAGGCGTAAATAAAGCAAGCAACTGGAACCCCCAGACAGACGCTGAGGTATTGGGGGCGTGACCTGCCACCAGCGAGTGAGGATGCGGCAGTCGCTGGATAAGAGCCTCGGCTCCGCGAAGGTGTCCCCAGGACCCTTCCTTTTCCAGGAGCTGAGTCCGGGCCACAGGGTCCAAACTACAAACTACAGCCCAGGAAGCCCAGGTGGCGCACCCGGGCGGCACCGGCGCCTCAGCGCGCACGCGCCGGTGAGTCGCGGGGCGGGGCCGCGACCTGGGGGCGGGGCTGCGGCGCGCAGGCGCCCTGGCCGCCGGTCCGTGCTGCCCGGGATGGAGGGCGAGTGAGTAAACAAGCCTGGGCCCGGGCGGTGGGGCCGGGCCTCGGCACCTTCCGGCCCGGGCCCTGAGGGAGGGACAGGCGAAGAATTGGGGGAATTGGGAGGAAGCCGAGGGACACACTGCGGCCCCTGGCCGAGGGCGGCTGGGTACCCTCCATGTTCCGAGGGCTGGGGGACGGGGCCAAGGGGCAAGAGAGTCCCCGGCGAGGACGGCGTTTGAGGCCGGGTGTCGTGGGGGAGGAGCGGCGGGGACGGGCCCGGGGACTGGGAATTCCTGTGGAGGGCCGGCGGGCGGGAGCCCCCATCGCGGAGAGGGCGCGGGGGGTTGGTGGCACCTGCCGGCCCCTCGGCCCGGTGGGGAGCGCTGGAGACCCGGGCTGAACTCGAGGTGGCGTGGGGCGGGGGTGTCAGTAAGAGCAGGGCCGGGGGCGGGGGCTGTGTGAGAGGCCCGTCCGGCGCGAAGCGTGCGGGGCACCGGAGCCCTGGTGGTGAGGTGCGGATCGGGGCGCCGCGCTGCTTCCTGCTGCCCGGCCCTGAGTGACAGGCTTTGCCTGCGCCTCCGGACCTGGTGTCGCGCCTGCCCCTGCCCACCGCGGGTCCCCCGAGGATCGAGTGACACAGTGAGAGTGCCTTGAAGCAAAGGCAGGGCGTGTATCTGGGACGTGTCTGGGAGGAAATGTGGGGCAAACTTTTATTTCGATAAAAAGTGAATGCTGGCGCATGGTTTCGGGGCGGAAGGGCGCCAGTCCCGCCAGAGAGATTTTGGTGGGTGAAATACACGATTGGAAATGGAGTGGATGTGGAGCCCAGCGCTTGCGGGGCAGGGTAAGGAGAGGAGCCGAGGTCAGTGACAACGGGGTGTGCAGGGATAGCGATTGTTACCCTGATGCCTTGGAATAGAACCCCTTCCCCCCCAGCCTCCCACTGCTGTTGAGTTTAGTTTATGAACCTGGTATTGAGTGTAGTGTGCAGCCTAGAAGGCGCTGACTATCAGAGGTCTCGGTGACAGTTCGCCTATGTAAGTCTTCTCAGGTGTGGAGTTGATAAAAGACAGGTCATACTCACTCAGTGTGACTCTGGATTCGACCAACTGCAGATGGGAAATATTTGGAAAAAAGTTTTCATCTGTACTGAACATGTATTGACATTTTTTCTTACATTGTCCCCTAAACAATGCAGTATAGTGCCTATTTACATAGTATTTGCATTGTATAACCTATGATAAGTGACCTAGAGACGTTCAGAATGAATGGGATGGGGCAGGTGTTAAAACTCCACTTGGGATGCCCACATCCCAGATGAGCTCGGGTTCAAGTTCCCCTTGCAATTAAAATTCCAGCTTCCTGCTCATGTTCACCCTGGGAGACAGCAAGTGATGGCTCAAGTTGGGTCCCTGCTGTCCACGTGGGAGACTTGGATTGAGCTCCCAGCTCCTGGCTTCCACCTGATGCAGCCCCAGCTGTTGACATTTGGGGAATGAACCACAAGACGAAAGTTCTCTGCCTCTCAAATAAATAAAAATTCAGAAAAATTATAAAATATGCAGGAGGTTGTTTGGATTATATGCAAATAATAGGTCATTTTAGGTGAGAAATTTAGCATCCTCAGATTTTGGTATGAGGGCTTGTTCCTGGTTACCAGTCCTCTTCAGTCCCAAGGGAAGATTTACATAGAAGAGATGTGTGTTAGGACATAAGTACATGGGGTGGGGGAGCATATGAGACTAGTATTGTGGCTCAGCGGGTTAAGCTGCCACTTGCGACACAGGCATCTGTATCAGAGAGCAGCTGCTCTGCTTCGGATCCAGCTCCCTACTGATGCACCTGGGAAAGCAGCAGAGAGCACTGGACGCCTGCACCCATGTGGGAGACCAGGATGGAGCTCCTGGCTTCAGCCTGGCCCAAACCTGGCTGTTGCAGCCATTTGAGGACTGAACCGGTAGATGGAAGATCTCTCTTTTTCTCTCTATCACTCTGCCTTTCAAATAAATGAATCTTTTTTACAGAACATACTGAAACAAAGGACTCTGTAAAATATAATATCAGTGTTGAGAGTTTTGCTCAGTGTGTATCACTGAGGGCAGGGTGTATGGCTCCTTTGTTCACTGATGTACCCAAACCACCTAAAGTAGTACCCAACACAAAGTAGATGCTCAGTACATAATTGGTAAATAGTGGGGAGATCTCTGGGACGTGGAATGAGAGCTGGATCCTGGTTCTGCCACTACCTGGCGGGGTGCTTGTAGGTCAGTCATGGAACTGATGCCCCGGAACAGCTTCCAAACTCCCTGAAGTGCAAGTGACCACTTTGTAGTGGTGATTACTTTAGTGTCCCTTGAAATAGAACTGGAATAAGGAGCCTGGAATTAAAAATGAAATTTTACTCCCAAAGAATACTTTTTTGAGACAGGAGGAAGTGAGGAAATATATCAGATTTATTTTTCTTTGTTTAAAAATGACTAATTTTGTGAAAGGCAGAATGACAGAGCAGGAGACAGAGAGCACTTCCATCCGGCGGTTCACTCCCCAGTTGGCTGCAACAGCCAATTTTGAGCCAAGAGCCAAGAAATGCATCCTGATCTCCCACATGGGTGGCAGGAGCTCAAGTACTTGGGCCGTCCTCTGCTGCTTTCTCAGGCACACTAGCAAGAAACTGAGTAGCTGGAACCGGTACCAGCACTCCGATGTGGGATGATATTAAGCCGCAGGTTAACCCATTGTGCCACAATGCTGGCCCCTAGATTAATTTTTCTTATAATTGCCTTTGAACTAGCATGCCTTTTTTACAAAAACAGTTTAGTATATTAATTTTGCCTAATCCTTGAAATCTGTCATCTGGCTTCCTTAGTCTTTTAGGCAATATTTCCTTGCCTTGATTTGTGCCTTAAATGCTATGTGTAACAATTAACTTCATTGTTTCTTTTTATAGCTTGGACTAAGTTTAAAAGTTTCTATTTTGTTCACTATTTCTACTTTGTTTACTAGCAACTTTCCAGAAAACATATAAGACAGCAACACCAAAAACACAACAGATTTATAGGTAGGATAACTGAAGAGGGAAGAGAGGACACGCGGAGAAAGGGAGGGATGATTGTACTGGATGGGTTGGGACTGAGGCAGAGGGTTTAAACATGCTGTTAGGGAATATGTCCATTCCAGAACGTCTCTGGCTTTTTGTTTGTTTTGTTCTAACTGTGTTGGGTTCCTTCCCACCTCTTTAGTCTGTCAGTCAATCATTGGTTGGGATTTCAGTCCTCCAGGCTTTAAAACCTTGATTTGCTTAATGGGTAGAGTTTAGTATCTCTGCTGTGTTGTGTTCTATGACTCACTTAACCTAATAATTTAATTCAAAATATACTTAAAAGTCTTGTTTTTATTGAGTGATAATGGGCAGTCACTAAATATTAAGCTTTGTGCTGCCATCATATAAAATTAGATAAAGTGGAACTTTAGTCTGTTAGGAGATTACTTTAACTTTTTTCTTTTAAGATTTATTTATTTGAAAGTCAGAGTGACAGAGAAGAGGGAGAGACAGAGCAAGCGAGTGAGCAAGCAAAAGAGTTCTGTGTTCCACGCACTGGTTAACTACTCAGATGCTTGCAATAGCCATGGCTGGGCCAAGCAGAAGTCAGGAGCTAGGAACTCCATCTGCATCTCCCACATGGGTGGCAGGGCCCCAATACTACAGCCATCATCTACTGCCTCCCAGGATGAGCAATAGCAGGAAGCTGGTGTGGGACTCTGTCCCGGGTGCTCTGGAATGGGCTCCGGTTGTTCTAAGGAGTGGCTTAACCCACGGAGCCATAACACCCACCCTAAATGATTAATCTTTTAAAAAAATAAAAAATAAATTTTATTTTTAAAAACAGCTTTAGATTTATAAGCAAAATTATGAATCTAGTACAGAGAGTTCTCTTAAACCCTACATCCCATTTACCCTATTAGTAACATATTACAAAAGTAGGCCGGCGCTGCGGCTCACTAGGCTAATCCTCCGCCTAGCGGCGCCGGCACACCGGGTTCTAGTCCCGGTCGGGGCGCCGGATTCTGTCCCGGTTGCCCCTCTTCCAGGCCAGCCCTCTGCTGTGGCCAGGGAGTGCAGTGGAGGATGGCCCAGGTGCTTGGGCCCTGCACCCCATGGGAGACCAGGAAAAGCACCTGGCTCCTGGCTCCTGCCATCGGATCAGCGCGGTGCGCCGGCCGCAGCGCGCCGGCCGCGGCGGCCATTGGAGGGTGAACCAACGGCAAAAGGAAGACCTTTCTCTCTGTCTCTCTCTCTCTCACTGTCCACTCTGCCTGTCAAAAAAAAAAAAATAAATAAATAAATAAAAAATAAAAAATAAAAAAAAAAAAGTATACATGTAACATCTGTTAGTTACTGATGAATAATGCAATGATCATTATTATTCATTCTGAAGTCAGGCAACAATTTTTTTTTTAATGTGGAGTGGCGGGGCTAGCACTGTGGCACAGTGGGTTAAAGCCCCAGCCTGCAGCGCTGGCATCCCATATGGGCACTGGTTTGAGTCCCGGCTGCTCCTCTTCCCATCCAGCTCCCTGCTATGGCCTGAGAAAGCCGTGGAAGATAGCCCAAGTCCTTGGGCCCCTGCACCCGCGTGGGAGACCTGGAAGAAGCTTCTGGCTCCTGACTTCGGATCAGTTCAGCTCTGGCCATTGCAGTCATTTGGGGAGTGAACTAGCGGAGTGGAAGACCTCTCTTTCTCTGTCTCTACCTCTCTCTGTAACTCTGTCTTTCAAATATATAAAAATAATTCTTTTTATAAAAAGGTGGAGGGGCTAGATTGTGGCATATCAGATAAAGATAGCAGCATACCACATGGGCTCCCGTTCAAGTTCTGGCTGCTCCATTTCTGATGCAGCTCTGCTAATGGCCTTGGAAAAGCAACAGAAAATGGCCCAAGTGCTTGGGCCCCTGCACCCATGTGGGAGACCCAGAAGAAGCTCCTGGCTCTTGGCTTCACCTGGCCCAGCCCTGGCTGTTGGGACTATCTGAGGAGTGAGCCTGGTGATGGGAGATCTCTCTCTGCTCCAACTGTTGCTCCCTCTCTGTAACTCTGACTTTCAGATAAATAAATAAATCATTTTTTAAAAAGTGGAATTTCCTATAGATTTTTTTAAAAAGATTTATTTATTTGAGAGGCAGAGTTATAGACAGAAGGAGGGAGAAACAGAGAGAGAGGTCTTCCATATACTGGTTCACTCTGCAGATGGCCTCAATGACCAGAGCTGGGCCGATCTGAAGTCAGATGCTTCTTCCAGGTCTGCCACGTGGATGCAGGGGCCCAAATACTTGGACCATCTTCTGTTGCTTTCCCTGGGCGTTAGCAGGGAGCTGGATTGGAAATGGAACAGCTGGGACTCTAACCAGCGCCCATATGGGATGCAGCACTGCTGGCGGTGGCTTTACCTGCTATGCCACAACACTGGCCACATTCCTACAGTTTTTTTCAATACTGAAAATATCTAAGAAATACTAGATTGATCTATATCAAGGCTTTAAAAAAAGGTTTAAAATCAGAATGACTGGAGGGAAGGAGGGAGGGAGGAAGGGAGAGAGGGGGAGAGAGAGATAGAGAGAGAGAGAGAGAGAGAATCATCCATTGATTCATGCCCTGAATGCCTGCCACAGCTGGGGCTAGATCAGGCTGAAGCTAGGAGATAGGAACCCCATTTGGTCTTCCATGGGGGTAGTGGGAACATAAGTACTTGGGCCATCATTTGCTGCCTCCCAGACACAGTAACAGGAAGCTGGATCAAAAGCAGAGCAGCCAGAATCAGTCAGGTACACCAACATCCCAAGTGGGGAGTAATCTGCTGTGCTTCAGTTCCTGCCCCAGACTGATTTTTTCCTTAATCAGCCTTATAATGGTAAAAATTTACATGCAGTAAGTTTATCCATTGTATATACATATATAGTTCAGTGAATTTTCATAAAATAGTTGCTCACATAACCACCCTATCAGCGGCTATGATTTGAGTAACTTCTCTTCCATTACTTGATCTCCAGTTTTAAATGGATGAAGCAACTGAAATATAGCAAATGTTGTCACCCCAAGAAAGTTCCCTCTGTTCCCTTCCATTTTATCCCTTACACTGCCTTAGCCCCTGGCAGCCATTCCTGGCAGCCATTGATCTGCTTTCTGTTGCTAGCTTTGCCTTTTCTAGAATCATCCTATAGAACACCTTGTAAGTGGCATGTATGACATTTTGTGTCCATTAGTCTATCCATTGATATTTTTGTTTCCATTGATACTTTGTATCCATTGATATGTTTCCACTTTTTGGTTATTATAAATAAAGCTGTCCCGAACATCACTGTGCAGGTCTTTGTGAGAAATGTCTTCATTTCTCTGTGTTGGATAGTTAGAAATTATATGCTAGCTAGTGTGGTTACTGTTTTTAACTTTATAAAAAGAAAACTGGGAAACCTTCCCAAAGTGGTTCTACCATTTTGCATTCCCACTCCTCACCAGCAATAGATAGTGTATCATTCAGATGTTGACTGTTCTTGTGGGTAGGTCATGGTATCGCATTGTGGGTTTGTTTTTTGTTTTTTGTTTTTTGTTTTTATTTGAGAAGTAGAGTTACAGACAATGAGAGGGAGAGACAGAGAAAGGTCTTCCATCCTTTGGTTCATTCTCCATATAGTCGCAATGGCTGGAGCTGGGCCAATCTGAAGCCAGGAGCTTATTCCGGTGGGGGTAAAGGGGCCCGGCCCAAGTGCTTGGGGCCATCTTCCACTGCTTTCCCAGGCCATAGCAGAGAGTTAGATCAGAAGAGGAGCAGCTGGGACTTGAACTGGCACCCATATGGGTTGCTGGCACTGCAGGTGGAGGATTAACTCACAGTGCCACAGCGCTGGCCCCTCACATTTTTTTTTTTTATTTGAAAGTGTTACACAGAAAGCGAAGGAGAGGCAGAGAGAGAGAGGTCTTCCATCCACTGGTTCACTCCCCGGTTGGCTGCAATGGCTGGAGCTAATCCGATCCAAAGCCATGCAGTGCAGGGACCCAAGGACTTGGGCCATCTTCTACTGCTTTCCCAGGCCACAGCATAGAGCTGCATGGGAAGTGGAGCAGCCAGGTCTCGAACTGGCACCCATATGGGATGCCAGCACTGCAGGTGGTGGCTTTACCCGCTACACCACAATGTGGGCCCACATTATGATTTTAACTAGCATTTCTCAACCACTAATGATGTTGAATATTTTTTAAGAAGATTTATTTGTTTGTTGGTTTATTAATGTGAAAGGCAGAGCAACACACAGAGAGGGAGAAACAGAAAGAGAAACATCTTCTATCTACTGGTTCATAGCCAAGTCCGGTCCAGGCCAAAGCCAAGACCCAAAACTCCATCCAGGTCTCCCATGTGCATGGCAGGGGCCCAAGTAGATCATCTTCTGCTGCCTTCCCAGGTGTATTACCAGGATGCTGGATTGGAAGCAGAGCAGCTGGGACTTGAACTGGTGCTCTGATATGGGGTGTTGCTGTTACAAGTGGTAGCCTAACTTGATGTGCCACATGTGTGGCCTTGATGTTGAGCATTTTTTGGTGCATTTATTTCCCATTTCTGTGTATTTTTTGGTGAAGTATCTGTTTAAATTTTTCCACTCAAAAAAAAAAAAAATTTCTAGGGGTGAGTGTTGTGGCGTAACAGGTTAAGCTGCACCTGCATCACCAGAATCCCATATGGGCTGCTGTCTTGGCTGCTCCAATCCTGATCCAGCTCTCTACTAATGTGCCTGGAAAAGTAGCAGAAGATGGCCCAAGTACTTGGTCCTCCACCACCCACATGGGAGACCCAGATGAAGCTTCTGGCTTCAGCCTGGCCCAGTCCTGGCTGTTGCAGCCATTTAGGGAGTGAACCAATGGTTGGATGATCTCTCTGTCTTTCCTCTTCTCTCTGTAAAACTATCTTTCAAATAAATAAATTTTTCTACTTACTTATTTCAAAGACAGAGACAAAGAGAGCTCCCACTGCTTTATCAGTGTCAGGTGTGGGAGGGCAGTTGCAAAGCCAGGAGTTAGACACACAACCCAGGTCTTCCATGGGGTAACAAGAACCAACTACTTGAACTGTCACTGGGTCTGCATTGGTGGAAAGCTGAACAAAGGAGCTGGAGCCGGTTATCTGGTATCAAACCCAGGTCATTTAATGTGGAACACAGTGTGCCAACCAGTAGCCAAAAGCCCGCCCTTTTGCCCAATTTTTATTGGGCTATTTATCTTATTATTGAGTTATAGAACATATTTATATGAAGACTTATTTTAAAATTTCCTCAACAGAACAGCATGTGATTTGGAGTTTACCTTCAGTGTTTCATTGAGTGTGGTGAAAGGCTCTTATGTCCTTACCTGGATTATAAATGCTATTTTACATGAGTAAATAACTAAAAAAATTAATCTAATAGAAGAGTAAAGTATTTTTTTGTGCCACTCCCTTTGGCCAAGGTGAGTGAACGCACTTCTCCAAACCTGTTCTGGTGAATGTCGAGGGGTTTTTGTTGTTGTTGTTGGTCAGGGTCCAGCTGCAGTCAGAACCCAGCTATGGCTGTGTTTTAGGTGTTTATTTTAATCCTATCTGTCTGTTCCAGTCTGTTTCATCTTCCTCATAACACTGTGGGAGCTGACCAACTGCCAAATAAACTTTTAGAGGCATTGAAGATCCATTAAAAAGTCAAGTGGAATAAGTGCTGGCTCATGTACACATGAGATTCAGATATCACGTTGATTATCAGAGGAGGAAGTGTGGCTTATTTTACATTGTGATCTGTGAGAGTGATGGTGTTTTTGTTACATGTGTATTCTCTGGCCAAATAAAGCACCTGAGTAAAATTAGAAATGGAGCCATTAATTGTTGGATTATTGTGATGTATTTACTGTCATTGCTCTTGGCAGACTGAAGGAGATCACATTTCAATTATGACTCTTCCTTAATAAAAATATTGATATTTTCCTGTGCCATCTCCTCAGAAATACACACAGACACACTAGCAGCTGTGGATTGAGTGAGTTCTTTCCTATTGCTCGATATCCAGTTTTTTGTGTGCTTTTCTTTTTTAAGATTGATTTATTTGAAAGGCAGAGTGACAGAGAAGGAGACAGGAAGGAGAAAGATCTTTCTGGCACTGATTTATTCCTCAAATACTTGTAGCAGCCAGAACTGGCCCAGACTGAAGCCAGGAGCCCGTAACTCCATTCAGGTCTCCCGTGTAGGTGGGCCATCCTCTGCTGCCTCCCAGGTGCGTGAGTAGGGAGCTGGACTGGAAGCAGAGCAGCTGGGACTCGAACAGGTACATGATTAGAGTGTCCCTCACTGTGGCTTAACCCACTGCACTTCGGTGCTACCCTTGATCCCCAGTTTTAAACAGATAGAGCAACTTTTTGCACTGTTGCAAAAATGAAAATGAATTCCAGAAGGAATGGGAGTGGGATTGTAATTTAGAAACATTTTTTAGGAGGTTGCAGTGTCACTGAATTGTGATTTATAACATTTAGGGTCTCAGTGTGGTTAGCCTACGGTTTCTGAGGGAAGCAGTTTTATCCTTGATTCAAACCATTTTTTTATTTCTTGGAGCAGAATATTATCAAGCATGTTTGGGGCAGAAATTATACCAGCAGCCATTTAATATTATGTGTGAGTGTTGTACATTTTCTTAGTTTTTTTTTTTTTTTTTGACAGGCAGAGTTAGACAGTGAGAGAGAGAGACAGAGAGAAAGGTCTTCCTTCCGTTGGTTCACCCCCCAAATGGCTGCTATGGCCGGCATGCTGCGCTGATCTGAAGCCAGGAGGGGGTGCCTCCCCCTGGTCTCCCATGGGGTGCAGGGCCCAAGCACTTGGGCCATCCTCCACTGCACTCCCGGGCCACAGCAGAGAGCTGGACTGGAAGAGGAACAACCGGGACAGAATCCAGCGCCCCCAACCGGGACTAGAACCCGGGGTACCAGTGCCACAGGCGGAGTATTAGCCTAGTGAGCCGTGACGCCGACCACATTTTCTTAGTTTTATTGTTCAAAAAGATTCCCTCTTTTGGCCCCATTCCATGTGAATGATAATTGTTTAAAATATTTAAGAGGAAGACAGATTGTATAATTTGGAGCAAAGAAATCAAAGCCTGATTTTTTTTTTAAGCCAGCATCTTAGCACTTTGTAGTTTAAATTCCAGGTTTTGTTGTTGCTGTTTCATTCCCTTCACCACAGAGATCTTTTTTAATTCTAAACTATTTAATTGTGTGTATTATAAGGTACAGTATGATAATTCAGTACACATACATAATATGACTTGAACAGATCAGTGTAATTAGCATTTCCATTTCCTTATCCTGGGGGTGGAGCACATCCGGCTCGTGGGCCATACAAGACGTGTGAAATCATCTGGTCCAGCCCTGCCAAGGCGGCTGCAGGCGGCTTCGAAATTCAGTACAGCTGTAGCAGGCTAATGTTTAAGCTGATCATTTTGTATGTCCCGTGGATGATGTTATAAATATCTAGGTGGCCTTTGGCAGAAAAACATTCCCCACCCCTGCCTTAAACATTTAGCAGGAGCAGGGTCAGCTGCTGCTTGGGACTCCCACATCCTATGTCAGAGTGCCTAGGACCGTGTCCTGCTTCCGCTTCCAGTCCAGTTTCCTGCCAGTACACACTGTGGGAGGCAGCAGATGATGGGTGGAGTGCCTGGGTCTCTGCCACAGCTGTAGGAGACCCCAGTGGAGTTCTTGGCTCCTGGCTTCGAGCCTGCCCAGCCTGAGCTGTTGCAGGCATTATGGGAGTAAACCAGTGGCTGAAAGATGGATCTCTCTCTCTCTTTATGTCACTGTCTTTCAAATAAGTAATTAAAAAAAAAGATTTATTTTTTACTTATTTGAAATAAACAAGTACTCTTCCATCTGGTGGTTTACTTCCCAAATAACCACAATGGCCTGGGCTGAGCCAGGCCGATGCCAGGAGCCCAGAGCTTCTTCTGGGTCTCCAACACGGTTGCTGGAGCCCAAGCACTAGGGCCATCTTCTGCTGCTTTCCAGGTGCATTATTGGGGAGCTGGATTAGAAGTGGAGCAGCCAGGACTTGAACTGCCCAAATGGGATGCCAGCATCACAGGCAGAGGCTTAACATACTACACTACAATGCCAGCTCCTAAATAAATAAATCTTTTTAAAAAATCTTTAAGAAATAAATGCTTCTTTAGAAGAAATGTGGGGGCCAGTGCTGTGGCATAGTAGGTTAAGCCTCTGCCTGCGGTGTCAGCCTCCTATATGGGCACTGGTTCCAGTCCTGGCTGTTCCACTTCCAATCCAGCTCCCTGCTGATGGCCTGGGAAAGTAGTGGAGGATGCACCCACCTGGGGGACGCGGAAGAAGCTCCTGGTTCCTGGCTCCTGGCTCCATATCAGCCCAACTCCTGCCATTCAGGCCATTTTGGGAATGAACCAGCAAATGGAAGACCTTTCTCTCTGTCTCTCCCTCTCTCTCTGACTCTCAAATACATAAATAAATCTTTAAAAAAGAGAGAAGAAATATAGTGTTCTACTTCAAAAAATTACTATAGGCAATTTTTCAAAACAAGATCTGAAACTTTAGTTTCTTTTCTAATTTTGGCTCTTCATATCTCCTTGTCAATTTTTTTTAAATTAAAAATGTTAGATGAGATGAATAGAAGAATCCCTCTAAGAAGCCTAAATAATTCATGTAGAGTAAAAGCATCATCTTGTAGATTTTATTGGATTTCCATGAACTTTTAATGTTTGCTCCTTCCTTTTCTAAAACAATTACAGGCCTGCTGGTTGAGCCTAGAAGTTGATTCAGAGAAGTGTTTACAGCCTTGGTGAGCATGAGATTGCTTCATGCACAAGACTGGAAGGATGAAGCTAATAAAATAAGGCCCTTTCCAAATGGCATAAGTAGGATCGAAACCTGACTTCCGTGTAAAAATAGTGGTAGCTGAGACCTTCAAGTGTTCTTTGTTTTGGGGGCATCCTGCGGAGGGTCCCGGGGTCCAAGAATGCTGTTCCAGTTGACTAAAACCACTGTGTGTTCTCTTTTGCAAAGCTGAGCTCTTGGCTTGCCTTTGTGTCGCTGTTCCTCTGAAGAACAGAGCACCAACAGAGCCCCCGTGCTTCCTGGACATTCTGTGAGGTGGGCAAAGGTCTTCCACTTTGAAACAAAATTCACGTACCAGAAACCATCATTTGCAGTGTTCTCGGCGTCTGTGTGTCTTGCTGTTAATTCGGAGCTGAGATCTTGCTGTTGTCACGTCCTACTTTTTATTAGTAGGTGTGCTGTATCTTTAGACAGTTGAGTGGGCGTGGTTTTGTGGTGGGGGTGGGTCCTTCCATGAAGCTCTGGGCTATGAACTTGGTGCTTGCTGAATGCTTCTCTTACTCAGAGCAGTGATCCGGCCTCCACATTCTCATGAGATCTGAGTTCCTGGTGTCCCGGATGCTGTTATAAAGCAGTCGCCACAGGACAGCAGAGGCTGAGCTTTTTTGAGAGTCAAACCAGGAGTTGCTGGCGTGAAATACTTTTTTAATGGAAGCTCTGGATCTAATGGAACTTAAATTTGAGTTCATTAAGTGTATGCTTTTATGAGTAAATTTAATGGGAATGAAAGAATAATTAATTGATCATGTTTATTTGAATTTGCAGGGTGCTTCATTTCCAACCAACAAAGTGCTATTTCTCATCTCTCTCTCTTCAATTCCAGCATAATGGATATACCAAATCCCCCGACTTCCAAATGTATCACTTATTGGAAAAGAAAAGTAAAATCTGAATATATGCGACTTCGACAGCTTAAACGGCTTCAGGCAAACATGGGTGCAAAGGTAAAAAATAATTTATGAGGGAAAGGTTGTGTATTTCAGTGTGTCAATCCAATATGGAGGGCTTGGATTTTTTTTTTTTTTTGACAGGCAGAGTGGACAGTGAGAGAGACAGAGAGAAAGATCTTCCTTTTGCCGTTGGTTCACCCTCCAATGGCCGCCACGGCCAGTGCGCTGCGGCCACGCACCGTGCTGATCCGAAGGCAGGAGCCAGGTACTTATCCTGGTCTCCCATGGGGTGCAGGGCCCAAGCACTTGGGCCATCCTCCACTGCACTCCTGGGCCACAGCAGAGAGCTGGCCTGGAAGAGGGGCAACCGGGACAGAATCCGGCACCCCGACCGGGACTAGAACCTGGTGTGCCGGTGCCACAAGGCGGAGGATCAGCCTAGTGAGCTGCGGCGCTGGCCCTGGACTTTTTTTTTTAAAGATTTATCTTATTTATTTGAAAGAGTTACAGAGAGTAGTAGAGACAGAGAGAAAGAGAGGTCTTCCATCAGCTGGCACTCCCCAAATGGTCACAATGGTTGGAGCTGAGCCAATCTGAAGCCTAGAGCCAGGAGCTTCTTCCGGGTCTTCCATGGGGGTGCAGGGGCCCAAGAACTTGGGCCATCCTCTGCTGCTTTCCCAGACCACAGCAGAGAGCAGAATGAGAAGTGGAGCAGCCAGGATTCAAACCAGCACCCATACAGGATGCTGGTGCTGCAAGCCAAGGCCTTAATCTACTGCACCACAGTGCCAGCCCCTGGAATTTTTTTTAACTTGTGCTTCCAAATCTGAGCAATCTTTTTCTTGGCCTTACTAGGCTCTGTACGTGGCAAACTTTGCAAAGGTTCAAGAAAAAACTCAGATCCTCAATGAAGAATGGAAGAAGCTTCGTGTCCAGCCTGTGCAATCAATGAAGCCTGTGAGTGGGCATCCTTTTCTCAAAAAGGTACTTCTGGGGGTGTGAGCTCAGCCGCTCTCTGCCTTGGGTTTGACTTGTTAGAAAATAAATAAGGAGAATGAATGTAGTTGTTACAGTCAACTTTAAATAACCATGTAGTAAATCTGCAGCTTAAGAACTTTTTCACCTGTTGTTCTCAGCTGAGTGTAATTGTGACGTTTTTATTTAAAACAAACAAACAAAAAAGACTTTTGTAGTCTGTTCTGTGGGTCTCTGTGTCCAGGCTCCGAAGCAGCCTTTTTTGTGCCTGGTTCCTCAAGGGCTTTGATGATGGGAAGGAGTGTGCTGGGGCATAGCCAGAGAACACCAACCGATCAGAGGGACCTCTCTTATTGGAAATTTTGAAAGAGCATTCTGATTTCTTAAAGAGATAATATTTTTAAGAAGTAAAAAGCAAGGCAGTGGGTGGTTAGCCTTGTAGTTAAAACTCATGTCTTACACCACAGTGCTTTGGTCTGATTCTTGGCTCTGGCTCCTGATTCCAGCTTCCTGTCCATGAGACCTTGGAAGACAGTGGTGGTGGCTCAAGTAATTGGGCTTCTGCCATGCACGTGGGAGGCCTAGATTGTGATCCTAGCTCCTGGGTCCTATTTTGGCCCAGCCCAATGAATGTGAGAGCTATACCTTTCTCTGCTTCTTACATAAGTAAAAAATAACAAAAAATTTGGAGTTGGCATTGTGGCCCAGCAGGGTAAGCCACTGCCTATGATACCAGCGTCCCAGAGCAGAGCTCTGGTTGGAATCCCAGCTGCTTTGCTTCCAATCCAGCTCTCTGCTAATGCACCTGAGAAAGCAGTAGAAGGTGACCCAAGTGCTTCGGCACCTGCCACCATGTGGGAGACCCAGATGGAGTTACAGGTTCCAGGCTTTGGCCTGTCCCAGCCCTGGCTGTTGCAGCCATTTGGGGAGTAAACCAGTGGATAGAAGATCTCTTTATCTTTCTGTTTCTCCCTCCTTCTGTCTCTGTCACTCTGCCTTCCAAATAAATAACATACATCTTAAAAGAAAAGCCTAAGCCGGCGCCGCGGCTCACTAGGCTAATCCTCCGCCTAGCGGCGCCGGCACACCGGGTTCTAGTCCCGGTTGGGGCGCCGGATTCTGTCCCGGTTGCCCCTCTTCCAGGCCAGCTCTCTGCTGTGGCCCGGGAGTGCAGTAGAGGATGGCCCAGGTGCTTGGGCCCTGCACCCCATGGGAGACCAGGAAAAGCACCTGGCTCCTGGCTCCTGCCATCGGATCAGCGCGGTGTGCCGGCCGCAGCGCGCCAGCCGCGGCAGCCATTGGAGGGTGAACCAATGGCAAAGGAAGACCTTTCTCTCTGTCTCTCTCTCTCTCACTGTCCACTCTGCCTGTCAAAAAAAAAAAAAAAAAAAAAAAAGCCTAAAAAGTTGTTCAAAAAGTTATTTAAATCTGTCTGTGTGGTGATATATACAGTGATGAGAGCAGTTATCTCCCTAAAGCAGAATTACACTTCTCACAGCTGGAGTTTCCGTACTGCTTTGCTTCCCCACGTGTGGTCCCTGTCAGCGTGCAGCACGCTGGTGTCTGTCTGCGGACGTTATGTCTTCAGAACACCTGCAGAGACCTGGAGAGGTCCCTTCCTGTGCTGTGCACCTGGAGGCCACAGGTCCAGTGACGCCTGAGTTCAGAGTGGGGAGTGCGGAGCTGACACAACAGTGAACCAAAGGCGGCTGCTGCTGTCCCAGGTTGTCTTGGGGTTCCTCTTAGGAGCTGCTGTTACAAAATCCCCAGCTTTTTAATTTGTAAAAATTAGAAGGCCACTGGGATCATTTTGGAAGGAGACACAATTCTCTCTCTTTTTTTCCAAGAGTTTTTTCCTGTGCTTACTGCCATTTTGGATTTCTTTCTTTCTTTTTTTTCCTTTTTCTTTTTACTCATTTGAGAGGTAGCGATAGAGAAAGAATGAGAGAGCAAGGGAATGAGAGAGTGCTGCCATTTGCTGCTTTACTCCTCAAATGTCCACAATGCCACGGGGCTGAAGCTGGGAGCCAGGAACTCAATCCAGGTGTCCCCTATGGGTGACAGAGACCCAGTTACTTCAGCCATCACTGCCACCTCCCAGGGTCCGTATTAGTGGGAGGCTGGAGGCAGGAGCCGGAGCTGGGAATTGAACCCAGGCACTCTGCTGTGAGACACAAATATCTTGAGCGGTGTTTTAACTGCTGGACCAATCACCTGGTGCTCCTGCAATTCTCTCTTGGGTTGTGTTCTTACCATTCCATGTTCATGCAATTGCTTATATTTCAGTGTACCATAGAGAGCATTTTCCCGGGATTTGCGAGCCAGCATATGTTAATGAGATCTCTGAACACTGTTGCGTTGGTTCCCATCATGTATTCCTGGTCCCCTCTCCAGCAGAACTTTATGGTATGTATTGAAAGCACTGTGGTGGTTGCTGGAGCTTCTCGTAGGGTAATGCAAAAAGCATGGGCATACAAGGCAGAATCTCACTGTCAATTACTCTAGATATAGATGTGTTGCTCTAGGATCCTTGTGGTTCCTGAAGTACACTTCTGTATTGATGTTGGTTCTTTTTTTGAGTGAATGAGATTGGGCGAGACTCCGAGTTTTCTCTTGCTACACTGGCTCAGTGGCGGTATGTGCAGGTAAATGCGGTGTAAATCCAACACTTGCGGCATGAGCAGGTGGTCAGCTCCCCGCTGAAGGAGAGTCCTTCCGGAGCGCTCTGAGGCCAGGTGCGGTGAGCAGCCGAGGCGGCAGATGTGCACGTGGGTGCCCTGTCTTTTCCTCTGGGCTCCTCCTGGGGCTGTGGGTGCTTCTCCCCGACCTCCCTTGCCCTTCCCTGGAGACAGAGAGCAGTGCTGCTGTTTGGAATAGGACACAGGTTTACAGAAGGGGCCGTCTCTCAGGATAAAACTTCAAAGTGATTTTGCTGGATGCTTGGGATTAAAAGGGACGTGTTCTCTAGTGAGGACCTCCCCCCTCCCCCAGTCCTTTAGCACCGTTCACTCCTGAAAATACAGTTGACTTTAGGTTCCCACTAGGTGTGATAGGCATGAGTTGGAGTCATAAGTTGTTATTGATTATGGAGGAATCTTAGTCTGCTTTATGGAATACCCACAAATTGTATGGTTGCCCATTTCTTTTATGGCTATTTCACAGCTCATGCTCTCATTTTCCTTTTCACTTGTCTGCCCCTCTACTTATGAAAGAAACGAACGTTAATGACTTCTTTGAGTTTTGTGTGGGTGCTCTTCCTACCTGTGTCACAAAGCTGTTGAGTGGATAAAATGAGGGAGTAGGTGGAAACACTGTGAAAAATGAATTAGGTTTGGAGGGGCCGTCCCTGTTCATTTCATGGTTAACATCATCAACTAAACTGACTTTTCCCTGCGAGTAACATTGCTGTCTTCCGTTTGAGGATTTGTTGGCAAAACAAAACAGCTAGTGTTTAAAATGGAGGCAAGGTGGACAGGAGGAAGAACTTGTAGTATTTTGTAGCCAAAGGAGATAACTGTAGTTGAGAATAGTTAGTTGGTAGAAGTGATTTTGAATGTGCCTAACAGAGAGGTAATAAATGTCTAAATGATGGATATGCCGGTTTGTCTGATCTGATCATTACCAAGTATCACACTGTACTCTATAAATATGTGCAACTACTATATGTTAGTTAGCAAGTAAAAACACATTATTTAAAAATGTAAGGGAAGCATTAAGCCTTTTAATGTAATGTAAAGTGAAAAAATATTGTCTCAAAAATTTTTTAAAAATGCAGGGGCTCTGTGACCAGTGGCAGTTTTACATGACTTAGAAGCAAAAATTCAGCAAAGGTCCCAGGAGCCTGAAAAGAGGAGCTGATGGAGTGCATCCCGTCTGGTTTGGTTGCAGGTGGAAGATGAGACCGTTTTATGCAACATTCCCTACATGGGAGATGAAGTGAAAGAAGAGGACGAGACTTTCATTGAGGAGCTGATCAACAACTATGACGGGAAAGTCCACGGTGAAGAAGGTAGTGGCACTGGGCGCTTCGGGTGGAAGGGTCAGGATGGTGCCTCCCTGGGCGCGTCGGCACCTTGCTCTTACCTTCTGCCCTTCGGGTGCACACTGATGACTATCTCCTGACTGGAAGTTAGTTTTTAAAGAAGATTTATTTTTTATAAATTAGTTAATATGAAAGCAGAGAGAGAGAGAGGGAGAGACACGGAGAGAAAGATCTGCTGGTTTGCTCCTCAAATGCCTGTAATGGCCAGTGGTGGGCCAGGCTGAAACCAGGAGCCAAGAATTCCATCCAGGTCTCCCACATGGGTGGCAGAGGCCCACAGTACTTGGGCCATCTTCTGCTGCCTACCAAGCACATTAGCAGGGAGCTGGATTGGAAGCAGAGTGCCAGAGACTTGAACTTGCACTCTGATGTTGGATGCTGGTGTCACAAGTGGAGATTTAACTGCTGTACCACAACACTAGCCTCTAAATCTTTATATTAAAAGTAACCCAGTTAAATTGTAAAAGGAGCTGGAACATAAAAGGATTTTAGAAACCAGGGGCTGGAGACAGTCTACTGCACGAGGAAGTTTAATCTGGATTTTCGTGAGTCCGTCCAGGGCTGTTGTCGTCTTCACTTCCCTTTTTCTGAGACTAGCAGCAAACATAAGCTCTGTCCTCCCACTTAGGTCCATGTGTCCCCTGGATCTCACAAATGTCTTTTTTTTTTTTTTCAAAGATTTGTTTATTTATTTGAAAGGCATAGTTGTTACATAGAGGGAGGGGGAGAGAAAGGGAGAGAGGGAGGGAGAGAGGTGTCTTCAATCTGTTGGTTCACTCCCTAGATGGTCGCAATGGCTGGAGCTGTGCTGATCTGAAGCCAGGAGCCAGGAGCTTCTTCTGGGTCTCCCATGTGGGTGCAGGGGCCCAAGGACTTCGGCCATCTTCTACTGCTTCTCAGGTCATAGCAGAGAGCTGGATCAGAAGTGGAGCAGCCAGACTTGAACCCGCACCCATATGGGATGCCAGCACCTCAGGTGGCAGCTTTACCTGCTGTAGTACCACTGTACCACAGTGCAGGCCCCACGACATCTGTTTTGTTTGTTTGTTTGTTTGTTTTTTGTTTTTTTGGTTTTTTTTGACAGGCAGAGTGGACAGTGAGAGAGACAGAGAGAAAGGTCTTCCTTTGCCATTGGTTCACCCTCCAATGGCTGCCGCGGCCAGCGCACCGCGCTGATCCGATGGCAGGAGCCAGGTACTTATCCTGGTCTCCCATGGGG